GGGGTATTTTTGGAATCTGAAAAGTACAATAAATCAGATTTTATGCTTAATTAGGTAACTTGCTGAGTTGGATCCTAGTCATGGGTTTTTACTTATACAAATTGGGTATTATTTATAGGAACAAAAAGTGAAGGGTTTTAGGTATGGCAAATTGAATTTAAAGGGTGTAAGCCAAATTTACTAAAAAAACAATTGAAGCATGAGGTGGTATGTTTTGGCATAAGATGTAAGAATGATAGATATTCTTATATAAATAAACGTAATTGGCAAGTGCTCACTAAGCACTCTCCAGAGCCAGCACCTAAGGATTAATTGGGGTGGCAGTTTACTTTCAAGCCACCCATGTAGTCTATAAATCCCGAGGATGTAGTCTAGAAATCCTTAGGCTAGTTATGTGGCACAATGTTGAGCTTCATCCATATATTTTTGCCGACTCTAGCTTACTGTAAATAGCCTTACCTAATAGTTCTTGAATCATAGGTTCTTCAAAGTTGTGTTAGTTTCCTAAAATTTGTATAAAAAAAAAAGAGTGAAAACTAAGTGTGGTAAGATTTTGGAAAAGCTCAACTGGGAGTTGTACAATAGCTTTGGATTTGAGGTAGGGTTTTTCTTGGGGAGGCTTTGCATAAATTGATTTAATTAAATATTTTGAACATTATATTATGCTTGGTAATATTATTTGATTATTATTACTATATTATGCTTGGTAATATTATTTGATTGTTATCCTTGATATTGGATGTTTACGTGTTGTCAATTATCATCATAATTTGATTAATATTGACATGTTCATATGTTGTCGGTGGTAGTTGGAATTCTTGGGTTGATAAAGAAATTATGAAAAAGAGGATAATGGGAAGAATCTTTTGTGTAGTTGAGTCTAACCATTGTAGGAACCAAGTCCAGGCGAGCCCGTGTGCACAGTAGATTAGGAAATCGGCGGTATAATTGTCGATTGGGTGATTTGGGCTTGGAGATCAATGGTGTAGACAAGATGACTAGCAAAAGGGGAATTATGGGATAACTGAGATGGGTGTTAGTTTATATAATGGGGCATTCGGAATCACAGTGGTAAAATGCATGGTATGGGACATGCAGATTTGCTTGCCCTATTATATAAATTAACGGGTTGGGTAGAATTGAAGTTCATTTATACATTGCATAAATTGTACATTATCAATCTCACTAATCACATAAGACATAGGACCCCTACTGGGCATGTAATGCTCACCCCTTATTGAATCTATTGCAGGCTTTGAATTTGAAGTTTAGTTTTTGCCGAGGAAACAAGAATGGGTTGTGGATAGTTTTGAATGTTTTGTTGAAAGTTTGTTACTTTCTTGTTATTTTGCTTGTAAAATTACAATGTAAATTACTTCAACTTAAATAGAAGTTTACATTCAATCTTCATGTTTCTTGATATTTAAATTTTTAGTTTTAGTTTTTCTTTTACCTCACACTTCCAAAAAAAAAATTGGGGTGTGACAATTACTTTTAAAAATATGACATTATATGCGGACTCACCAATTCATTTGAGGACAAAAATATATATATAAGGTGCAGTGGAACTTAATCAACAAGAAAAAAATATGTAGACTACAATAGAAAACTAGAGTCTGACATGGATTACAATCTCCAACTATAAATATATTTCATATCAGAAGTTAAAATGTCAGAAAATACAAGAAGGTAAGCCTAATGTTATCTCATCTCATAACAATAAAGCCTAATGTTAATTGCATGGTGGCATGAAATTTCATAAGATGGAGACTTAAGGTTTTGCTCTTTGTAAGTGACACTGTCCTGCATGCAGCAGCTTGTAAGATGGCGAAGAAAGGTAGAATTTTCAGGTATGCAGATGGTGTGGACAAGTTATTATTGGTTTTGGGGACTCTGGGTAGCATTGGAGATGGGTTGATGACACCGTTGATGATGCTGCTCCTCAGCCGTGTGATCAACGAATACGGAGGTGGTACTTTCTTCAATGACATTGTGGACAAGGTATGCAAAATCATGGAACTAATTGTCATGGCTTTCAAACTGTCCTGAGGTATTGAATTTTGGTTAGTCTTACCAGTTCACATGGCTAAGAAAGTGCAACACATTTTCTTCACAGTACTCACTCAGGCTGCTCTTTGTTGCAATTGGAGTTGGAATATCTGCTTTCATTGGTATTATGTTAACTTTGAGCCTTATTGGTTTTTGTGGCCAAGTCTTTACCCCTGAAAACATGTATTTCAACCACACTCATTTGATTGTATCATTTTGAATGTTGTGTGATTAATGTTATTGACCTGTCAACATTCAGGATTTGCAGAAGGAATTTGTCGGACCAGAACTGCTGAGAGACAGGCATCTCGCATGAGAATGGAATACTTCAAATCAGTCCTCAGACAAGAAGTTGTCTTCTTTGACAAACAAGCTAATTTTTCCATGATCTTCAAAGTCATTTCTACTATCTCTTCTGATGCCCATTTAATCCATGACACAATAACCGAGAAGGTTTTCAATTGTTTATGGGCCTTGCTCTTCTTCTTCTTCTTCACTCTGTAATCTTGAATTGATCAACCTGTATTTCCTCTGTTTTTGTAGATACCGAATTGCCTGGCT